AAGTGTTGACGGGGGCCGCACATCCAGAAATTATTCTACATATTAATATAAAAGCAAATTAAGGCATACGTGGACGCTTGTGTTGAGTTCCCTTATTATAATCTCAAGAACGCTTTCTTTGCGCGTGATTTAAGGGTGACTTCTCTCAAACAACTTATATGAATGCAGAACATTCAAATATAGTGAAAAAACGAATGGCTTCAACGAAGGTAACCTCACTTCATACTGAACGTTTCATCCATCGCCTCTTCATCGAAGTCTCCAGAAGCTCCCTTCGAAATGGAAGGCTCTCGTTCCTGAATGTTCACAGAATAGGAATGGAAAGAAGAAAAAGAAAGAAGACAGAGGAAACAACAAACTTCTTCTTCAATAACACCCTGAGTTACTACGTCGCTAATCCGGCGTAAGACTTCAGACAACTCGGAATTTTCGCCATCCCTAAAGATAAGCAAAAATTAAAGAGAAACCCAAAACCCGATAGAATAATTTCCGAAGATTAACACAGTGCTTTAAGAGACACTGAAAATTGCACGAAGTGAAAAAAAAGCTACACGTCCCAAACTCAGGCTTACCCCACTCTCTCGCGACTCCATAGGGACGAAATCATGAACTTTACTCTGACTGGCAAATTTCAAATAATTAGCCCAGAGAGTGGCAATGCATGTATATAACTTTGGCAGCTTTTTTCGTACTAACAGCCACGCTTCTGGACGTTTTAATTTAATCAATACTGACGTTTTGAAGGCTTACATTGGCAGTTACATAAAAAAAACGCTTCGTAACTCTATGCCTACAAAACGCCGTCAGCGCAAGGATAATCAAGGGAGCAGAAAGCCTAAGGTTCACCTCTGAACCGGGGTCACTATGGTAAGGAAAACAGCGTTCTCGTAGGTGCAGCGAAAACTGGGATGAAAACGTTGTCACCTGATAACATCGGAAATTTGCGTTACAACCGATTTCAACCGTTCACGCTCTCCTTCAAGATGTTGTAATTGATTGCATAGCCTTGTCTTCAACCGTTCACGCTCTCCTTCAAGATGTTGTAATTGATTGCATAGCCTTGTCTGCAAAATTTAGTGATTTCCTCCTGCCACAAAGACACGCATAGAAAGTTGAGATCTCCGGCAAAGTTTCAAAGCACACCTTCTGACAGATCACTTCAGCAGTTTTCTCATGTGCATATTTTAGAAGCACGTCCTTCTCAGCCAGGGATGTCTTCAGTTGAGCAATTTCAAACGAGCTGTGAGAAGTAAATTGTTAGAAAAAGCTGCTGATTCAAAACTGAAGCACGGGTTCGCTTCCAAAATGAGACTCACTTTGTTTCACCGCCAGGGGCAAATCCCATGCGAGCTTCAGCCAGTTCTCTTTCAAGAGTAGCAACCTGTAATTAAGCGAAGTACACAAATATTAGGAAGCATTGATGAGTTCTAATTCAAACCTTCTCCTTGAGTTCCATAATCTTTTGCTGGCCCGCGTCGATATTAACAACCGGTTTGTTCTTAATTTTCTTAGCTCGATCTGCATATCTGAAAGAAAATAATTCCGAGCTGCTGCTTCAAGAGCTAATGCTATAACTACATGAGCAGAATGTGATTCAATGAAAGAACAACACTATTATTTGCCTTTGAAACTGGAACTTTGCATAAAAATGCTGTTTTTTTCAATGCAATAACAGAACTGCAGAAGCACTTCTCTCTGGAATCTCATTCAATGTCTTACAAATATCAGCAGAGTTGATACCTTTCTTTGGGCACTGAAAGTGAGGTTAATGCAACAGCCTCCAGATTGAATTAGTGAGGTAACAGCAGCTAATGATGATGGTGTGGTAAAGACGTTCCTAGACGGACCTTCATCAACGCGAAGAGGCTACCATACCTGCCTCCCTATAGACTATCTTAACGCTACGTCATAATCCACTTTACGTGAGGGAGAGCGCGAAGTACCATGTCCAAAAACTAAGATTAGTAGCCAAAAATTCGCTTGTAAAGCCCTAGCGCCATTGTCGCGCAATTTAGAGAGGCTAAAATGGCACACCTGCGATAGTCGTGATTACTCTATCCCACCCACGGAACAAATTCATCGACGCGACCTTATCATGGATTGGGTTGTTTTGCCAAGTAGATTTGATAATTCTATTCAAACCACGAAGACAAAAGAACTCTCTCAACAAAGGTGACC